AATTTTTATGTGTGCATGATTACATGTATATGTGATATGTGGTATTGACATAAGTGACTATAGGATCACGAACTATGTAGAATAGCAAGGACTTATGTGATAGCAAGAAAAAATGATATAAACTAGGTGGAATAGATATAAATGATAAGTTAAACGACATGGACATATGTGATTATGAACATGTGGATATAGGTCTAGTTGAAGATATAATAACAAGATATAAATTACATGAGTTAAATATATGGGAATTAGTATAATCAACTTATGAGATTAAATGAAAAGTGAGACAAGTTAAATAACATTGACCAATAGGACAATATGAGAATAGTATATAAATTAGAAGACATTGACATAAGTGATAATACGAACATGTAAGATAAGCTATATGGGGAAGAGTTACGAGCTTAAATGAAAATATAATATATGAGCCATATGGTAAAGATCTATGAAGCTGTAGGAAAATGTTATGGGAGCTATGTGATGATAAGTCATAAGAATATATATATAGGTAATAAGTTATGTGAAATTGAATTAAGTAAATATATGAAACTAGGATATAAATAATGTGAGATAAGTTATAGGACATTGATATACGAACTATATGAAAGTATGTACATGAATATATGTGTAAGTTTATATGTTATTCTATGTGATATATGATGTATATATGAACATATGTGAACAAGATATGATATGTGTGTTTACATGAACAAATGAGAAATGATATAAGCCAAATGAAATGATCTACGTGATTACATGTAATACGTGATTACATACACATGTGATATGATATGTGATATGAGAAATGACATGAGCTACATGATCACAAGAGAAATGACATGAACTACATGATCACAAGAGAAATGACATGAGTACATGAACATATAAAATATAAGAATAATGCCCACAGTATACGATATGAGAGCTATAGGTATAGTTGGCATGCCAAGAGTCGAGGGTTCTATGTGGTCATTCAGGACATATATATAATTATGTTGAACCTATATGGGGTACTTCGGTACACTGATTGGAGCCATTGTATTATGTATGTGGTTCTTAAGGAGAAGTCCTTCGGGACGTAGTCCTACGGGACGTAGTGGTCCTATGGGACATAGTGGTCCTTCGGGACGAATACTGAACTAAGGTTCGGTGCCCCATGATGGAATTGATATGAGCTGTGGTGACAGCATTAGTGCACAACCTCAATTTACTCACATATCTCTATTCTCAATAATATATATGGGCAATTGAAATACAAATTTACAGTGAAAGTGTTACAAGAAGGTAAGTTGTGTATGTGCATGTTGTGATTGTATATGTTATCGTGTAATAGATAAATGCATATTGAATTGTCATGATCCAATGGTAAGAATGCATATTCATAAATTATTTGTTATATATTCATTTATTACCTCACTAAGTCAACGACTTAGCGTGTGATTGTTTCACACGTAGGTACCAAGAAGATGAAGAATGAGAAAAGTTAAGCAAGACATGCCAGTTCCTCCTTTCCAAAGATCAGATCAGAAAAGCATTGTATAATATGTATTTTATAATACGGATGGTAGTTGGCATGTAAATAAAGATTTGAATTTGATATACTTTAATTAGTTTTTCTAAAATCATATGAATATCTTTTATGTAATCTAGTCAGTTGTTTTATTAAAAGTTTTAAAAATTCCCAGGATTTTCTATAAGAGTCAAAGTTTGAAAAGTCAATGTGACATCTCGGACTTGTATTCGGGACGGATATGAGTTAGGGGTGTTACACTTAGTTAAACACTTTTGAGCATTTTCTCGTTTCTTTGTTTTCACCAAATTTATAAACCTGAGCCCTTTTTTTATTTTATCCCTCTTTTCTACCTTTTTCAGGGCAAGTGAATAATTTTACCATTGTATTCTCCATCGGAAAAAAAATGTGAAAAAAAGAAAAGAAAAAAGGGCTGTTCGAAAGAAAAAAAAGGGGAAAAAAGACATGAAAGAAAAAAAATAGAAAACAACAAAAGTGTGAAAAAGAAAAAATGCATTTCGATGAGAAAATTGTTGTTTGATATGTCGTTTCTTTATCTTGTTGTGCTTAATGTTTTGATGGAGTAGAGATTATTATTTGTTAGTTCCTTGCCTTGAATTTTTAGCCATATATTTAGCCTTTTCCCTGCCTTTACCTAAGCCCCGTTACAACCAATAAAAGACCCTTTGATTTATGCATTTTGTTCTTTTTAGTAGTAGAGATTTGATTTACTTGCAGGCTTATGGTAATATCGTGTCAATTGTGACATTGAGCGTTTCTTTACCCCAAACACATTGAGTGATTTGAGTGAATCTCGGTAAGATGTTGAGTTATGAGCATTGAGATTAATGAATGAATGGATATTACAATTGCACTTGACTTGTTCCAATTGGTGATGTTCGATTGATTGATTTCTTGACTTGAATAGTTATTGTGGTCTCTACCTTACTCCCTTGAATATAAAACTTAACAAATAACGTTTAATGAAGTTTTTGACTGATTTGGTTAATCATACTTGAGGACAAGCATGAGATAAGTGAGGGGGAATTTGATGAGTGTTCAAAATCGTTAATATTTGCTCGTTATATCTTCGATTTTGTGGAGTTATTGTTGCTGATTTGTTTGTGTTATACTTGTTTTTGTACAGGTCCTTGCTTTCTAGAATTTGTGACAAAACGAGCGAATTCTGCATTTTTTTTATTATTTGGTCACGACTGGAGACATGGGCACGACTCTAGGCACGACGCGGTCTGACGTGGCAGTTTCTAGAAGGTCCAGTCAGCGGCAGTTTCTAGAAGGTCCAGTTAGCGGCGGTTTCTAGAAGACTTCGTCGCACGCCTTCTGGAAGATTGACGAGCAGAGTTGCATTAGGAGACTAGTTTAAATTTGAATTTAAATTTAAAAATAATTATCTTTTGTATTATTTTATTATTTTCTTTGTTTATCCTTTAGGCTTTGAGAGGCTATAAATACCCACTTAGGGTAATCCTAAACAGATCATTTGGAATACATTATTCTTTTCTCTCTAGTTTTTATAAAAGATTTCTCTTTTCCTTTTCAAGTTTTTTTTATTTTTCTTTATTTTCAAGTTTTATTTTTATGCTAAGTATGACTTTTGTCATGCTTAGCTAAACTTTTCATAAGCCGAGAGATGTCGCGATGATTCAATTCCAACGGGAGAATTGATACGGTCTCTTAATATCTTCGGAATATCTCTCTCAATCTCTACGCTTATTTTTCAAAATCAAAACAGTTTTCAAAATCAAAGATTGACTTTGGTCAAGAGGTTGTTGCGATTAAACGTGTGGGAGGAAGATTCGGCTTATAGAAAGCAATTCGACTTCCTAGGAACACACTTGGCGAGATAGCTTCGCCAAGAGGGAATTGAGATCGGAATTGACGGTTATAGAAACAACAATCTGAGTCGGTCGCCACGAACTTAAATGGTATTTGATCTACGACAATAGATGTTGTTAGAATCAATTACCGAAGCCGGAATCAAAGATTGCCTTGGGTATTCGGTATACAAGATAGAGTCACAAAGATAGCCCTTATAGACAAATTAACCGACATGAATCCCGAAGAGAAAATCTTATTCAATGATCTAAAGGAAATTGAATCAAAGCGAAGCTTAAAGCTACTTTTACCGTATTTATTCACAATTTATATACTCTTATTTTTATTTACATTGTTTTTATTTATTTTTATCATTTTAATCTCATACTACAAACCCCATTTTTTTACTATTTTCGTCTGGTTAGAACCGTTCAAACAATAAATTGTGATTTTCTAAGTCCCTGAGAATTCAACCATTATTTCTCTATACTACGTATTTCATTTATTTATTAATTGAGAATAAAGAATTATTTTGACATCCGAAACGACAGTTGTCAATAATATTTTTAATTTTAACTTAAATATTATTAAATATAATCTAAAGAATTATATATTTAACAAGTTTTTTTAATCTTATATTAACCGACTATATTTAAAACTTTCATTCTACATTCCTTCTATATTAGTATTGTTTCACCCATTAGTTGAACCCCACACTTGTGAACGCATTAATTAGTCGGGAGAAATATGTAATAGATAGGCAGCGTAATATTTAGGTCAGGTCTACATGCATGCACTGTTTCAGGTGTGCAGCAGAAAGCACACTCTACATTCATGTACTTTAATATTTCAGTTTTTGATGTACAATAATTAATATCGGATTTTATTTACAAAAATAATAACAATTTGTAATAAAATCTTTAAATTTAAAATAAATTAAGATTCAACTTTATCAAAGTACAGAAGCCACGTCATATTTTAACTTCATTATTAGAAGCAGCTTGCAAAGTGATCCCAATGAAAGTATCGAGTACTCCATACAATCTCTGACCTAGTACTCCCAAAAAAACAATTCTTAGTTTGAAAGTCTCACTGTACGTACGACAGTTTTAATATATGGTTAATAAAAAATGTTATTGATTTTATTATTATTTTTTAATAAAATTGATAAAAAAATTATTAGAAATATTATGATTTTTATAAATTTTATTATTATTGGGCGCTTTACCGGTTTTGTTAACATATCTGATAAAACGCTACCTAAAACATTATTTTTTCTATCGGTTTTGTTACCGGAAATGTTGAAAAAATTAACGTTTTAGGTAGAAATAATAATATTTTAAATAATTTTTTATCGATTTTGTTTAAAAAATAATAATAAAACCAGTATTTTCTTTCCTTAGCCGTATATTAAAGATGACGTACGGTAGTTTTATGAAAATAATTTCATTAAAATACTAAGTATAATAATAAATTGAATTTTATAGTTTATTCCTTTCTTTTATTTATTTTTTTTATTCTCAAATGCATAATGGACAGCTTATTTACTTCGATGATAAAATTAATATAATTGAAAAGTAAAAATAAACTTATTGATTTTAAAATTCAAAATTTTGAACTTTAAAACTTGTTAAAATAAAAAATGTAACAAAAAGAAAAGAAAATAAGTGTTGCAGAAGCAGGATGAAGCTAACATGGAACAGGAAGAAGAACAACAAGAAGCGCTCCATAGAAGCTATCGCAAGCTACCCAAACCTTCCCTTTGATCGACAACAACCCTCCGCTGATAATACGCAGTTCCAGAATCAAGAACCCGCTCCTTCTCAAAATCAGGAGAAATCCTCTGCTGATGCGTTGGATTCTGACTTTAAACAACTTGCCCAATCTTTCCAAGCCCAAGGCAACAAGCTTGCTGAGGTTTTTCTTTTTTTACTTACTTTCTGTCCCGTTCTCAATTAATTGATTTTGGGTTTAGAAAAAAGGCACAATCTTTGATTGAATTGTAAATTTGGGAATTCCATTAAAAACCTTTACTTATGTTATTTGACGAGTTTACTTGTTTATTGGCTGATTATTAAATTTTTCGGACCCTTTTTCATGGTGTTTTTTCCAACTTTGATTTGACTCGATTATAATGATGCGAGAGGAAATCTTATAAAAAAAATGATGCGAGAGGAAATAATCCAAATTGGATTTGTTTTAAGGCTACCTATAGGAGTCGTAACAATCTAACAGGGGAAAAGGAGGGGAAAAAGTGGGAAGAAAAACTTGTTGAGCTTAGATTTTCTTAAATGATATATTTACTAGGGCTTTGAATGGTACTTATGTTTTTATTTTACCATACTTGGTATGATGTATTTATTCTCATAGCTCGTCTCTTTTGAAGGATGGGAAATACCGGGAAGCACTTGGGAAGTGGGAGGCGGCTCTTAATTTGATGCCTAGAAATGCAGTTTTGTTTGAACAGAAGGCACAAGTTCTACTTGAACTTGGGGATGCATGGAGTGCATTGAAGGCAGCATCTTGTACGTCTCGGTTCCTTTCGACTTGGTTGTTTCTCAGTGACATTGTCCAAATGCTTCTTGATTTAAAGCTCCTTAAATAAGATTAGAAGTTGCGGAACATGCTTCTGTGTTTGATATATAATGTGCTATGGTTTGTTTGTGTTGCGAATATACTAGTTCAAAACTTTTGTCTGCTTATCTGTGGATTCCACTTGGCAGGGGCAACTGAATTGGAACCATCATGGGCTGAGGTATGTCAAGCTTGTAACCTGAATGCAGCGTCAAATAATAAGCTTTTTTACATACCTTGAGAAACATCATACCCCCATTATAATTGTGTTCCATAAACATGAGGCTCATATTTCTCAAACGATTTGGATACATGCAAAATTTGAGCTCTTTCCTGTTGTTTTACACATTGTACTTTGTAGTCTATCATCAACTGATGATGACCAGAAAGCACAAATTTAGCTAATGATGAGCAAAGGAATTTATATATCAATCCATAGAAGTGATCGACTTTCCACATGGGCGGCTGTTTTCCCTAGATTTTCAATGCCTGCTCTATGTATGGTGGTAGTTAGCTGATGCTGAGATATTGCAATTGAATGTTTTCTTTGTTAATAGCTTCTTTAAAGCAAATGTTTAGACAAAATACCTTTCTGTTATTGTAGCCTTCATTTTAAGCCAAAGCACCCTTTTGTTACATATGAGGTTGTATTTGTTTTTTCAGGCATGGGTCACTCTTGGTAGAGCACAATTAAACTTTGGAGAGCCTGATAATGCCATTGAGAGTTTTGACAGAGCATTAGCTATCAAGGTACATTCTCGATACTTATCATTCTGTGTTGCCTGTCCTGGCCTTGTATTTTGAGGAGGCGTGCTTTATCAGATCTTCAAGCTACTCCTTATATTTTTGAAGTCCAATGTCTTTCTGGTTAAACTGGTCTTGAGCCTTGTACTCTTATCCTAGGCAAGAGGGTATTTCTCTGGAAAAGCCTGCAACTGAACTATTTTGCAAATTATTGTCCTCTTTGAATTGTCAATCTGACGTAGATTAACGAATCTGTTTATCAAAATATTGAGTTTTTGCCACGAGTCCTTTGTGAAATCTATTTATACTTAATAGTCATTTCCTAGTTATATCTCTCACCATTATTATAGTCCTAGTATTTAAGAGGGAGACTTCATTCCAATAAGTCTATTTAGATTGCAGTGGTCTGGTTTACTAAATCCGTATCATTTTTCGCAGCCTGATTCTGTGGAGGCACAAAATGACAAGAAAACTGCATTACATCTTATAAAGAGAAGAAAGCAGCTTCATTCATCAGGCCTGAGTACCGATAAAAATCGTTATATGGTAGGTGATAGCACCGAATCTTCCTGATTTTAGACGAAGTGCATTTGTTACTCACAGGAGGATTGATGTTAAGAGTTACCGGATATAACACCAAGATGGAGTCATCAATTTACCATGAGACAACAATTGAAAATTTTTGGAATTGCTTAAGAGTTCGGCTCTGACAAAAATCTTTGTAGCCATAATATCGTACAATACTATAGTTTCTGAACGTTTATGCAAATGGGGTGTGATGTTTCAAGCTTCTAGGAACCCTTTAAAAGTTTAAACCATGTACAGATAAATTCTCCCAGAGCATGTATAAAAATATTAGGCATTGTTAGGACATCACTTTGTCAGCTATATCTTTACGAAAGACAATGAAATGAAAAAAAGATCGAAAACGAAAAAAGGAAGAGAAGTTCATGGTGTAAATCATTAAAATACGCATGCTCTAAAGCAATTCTACTCTTGTATGTATTTCTTTCGGCCTATGTTCTTAAAACAATCCTAGGCAAGGCGGAATTCCTAATTTCCTCGTTGACGTCCGACGAAGCTCTTCCTGGAAAACCTTTGTTTTAGGTAGGGGTGTTCAAATTAATCCGTTACTGGTATAATCGTTACATTTTACAAGTTAATTAATCTGTTAATGTTTAACGGTTTCAGTTAACCAAACAGCTAAAATTGTTGGTTACCGTTACAATTATGAATTTTGATAATTGGTTAATCTTTAATTAACAGTTAATAAATTATAATTAATGAATTATAATTTTAAAATAATAAAATTAAATATAAAATTTGTTTCCTATTTTTTTAGTTATCATGTTTACCTTAGGACTTAGGAGTACATTAAGTCAAACATAATTTAAAGTACAAAATATAAATATGCACGTAAGATTTTAAATTACAAATATATATATTAACGGACCATCAACAACCTTAATTTTAAGCGCCATATAATGCGGGACTTTGGCCCTGCAATATTTTATCATCCTTCCAGCACCGCAAATATGGGTCCGGTGGTGTCGTTTTATCAAGTTTTTTTAAGGCAAACATTTGTCCCACCCACGGCATCCATGCCCCAGGTATAACACCATCCATTTGTATGAATCATGGAGGGGGTCCGATTCCATTTGATTGTAGCAAGAATATGGCTCAAGAAAGAGAAGAACAAATAAAAAGACTTTGCAATGGTTTAAATCTTATTTTCCGTTGCCGGGACTTGAACCCGGGTAACGCTGGTGAATGCCGAGTATCCTAACCAACTAGACTACAATGGATTTATTAGTGGTCTACACAAAATAATAAAGATTAAAAATTTTACGCTTGTATTAGATTAATTGAAAAGCGCAAGAGGTAGAGCTAATTATTTGCTGATGTATAATTGAAAACTGTTAGACTAATTGCTGACCCAAATTGGTATTGTTATATATTTTTTAGTTATTTTCTTCAATTCTCTGTTCGCCAAAAAAAACTACTAAAATACTAATACATTTTCTATTGACAGTGTAGCAACAACCAAATGGTTTAGGAGAAAAGAATCTTTACCATCAACAGCTGTATTTTTGACACATCCATACATGGATGTAACATAAGATTGTGGTTACAAAAACTACAACCTGGAGATTTATGGATTAGTATCATTAACGAACCTTTATTCTCATCATAGCTGGAAACTGAGAAGAAACGGATGTTTTTCAATTCTTCAAAATCCATCAAGCCGTCAAAGTTGGTGTCGTGGAACCAAATCATGCGTCTGCAATCTTTCACACTCTTTTCATCCCACAATCCCAGTTCATGTCGAGCTTCTCCAATATCCGCTGCAGGTCGTTCTTGTTTAGGGCCGGAGACATGTTTTATAAGAGAAAGTAACCACCACCACCATTAATATCAACTGGTGAAGCTTTGAGATTTCCTGTTTCTTCAGGTACTATCACCATAACCAAGGAGGATTTATATCAATCTATTTGTCTATAAAAATACATTGGCATTGTGTATGAAAATAGGTGAAAGAAAGTAGTTTGTGTGAGAAATCACTTTATTGAGAAGATAAGTAATGAAGCTTGCAAGAAGTTTCATATGGAAATAAATATATATATATATATATATATATATATTAGTTTGACTAGGGACAGGATCTAGGGGATAACTCGTGAAAATTTTAAATTTTTTTTATTTTATTAATAATATATTTTTACTTCCTTATAATTTTATAAATTTATTTCTTTAAAATTTTAAAAATTATATATATATATATATATATATATATATATATTTTTAAAAAGATTTGTCATATCTGAAAAGGAAATGGAAAATAATATAAAGTGCAATAGGTGAGAAAACTGAATTGAGACGACTACAACCAAAAATGTTCACCACATTTGTTGTTTTATATTTCTCTGTCAAATACACCAGTATAAATAAGATGCGTTTGGTCTACATTGTGTTCCCAGGTGAAACATTACATGTCTTTCCTTACATCATTAAATTGTTTATTAAAAGATTATTATAATTTGATATTAAATTTAATACAAGTATTTAAATATGACAATGATTAAACTCTATAAAAATTTCAAAGCGGTATAATAAATGTATAAAAATGAATAGAGTATGAAGCAACGAATTATCAAAATTTTAGTCGAATTAACACGAAAAACACTCATTTCATTCCTTTAATTTTTTTTCTTATCATCCACAATTTAATTACACTTACTAAAAAGAAATAAAATTCCAATATCAACTATTAAAATATTTTTTAAAAGCAGCTCTCATTTTTTATGCGACTGTCCAATGACTATGGCAACAGAGTTAGTCAAACCGAATCTATTTGATGTTTTTATGAGTGACGATATAGTGTCCTGGATTGATAAGAATCTGAGACAGCCACATTACTTCCCAATAAATGCTGAGGATTGGGATATCTTGTTAGGCTCGGTGGTGTGGTGTTTTTGGATGCGTCGGAATAAATTGATCTTTGATATGGATTTTATCGCAAGCGAAGTGTTCGTCTCACAAGGGAAGCGGTTCGAGCCCTTGTCAAAAGGAATTCAGAGAGGATCATAAGTGTTCCACATGTAGGCAGAAACATTCGCTGGGCTGCTCCAACGGGAGAGTTGGTTGAAGCTGAATACCGATGGGGCGAGACAAAGCTCAACGGGTTGGGCAGCTTGTGGAGAGACCATTCGAAATCACTCCAGTAATTGGATTACAGGATTTTCAAAGAGCATTGAATTTTGTTCGATGCTTGATGCCGAGTTATGAGGCATTTGTATCGGTCTTCAAATGGCTTGGATAAGGAATATTCAGAAGCTTATCGTTGAAACCGACAGCAAAGAAGCAATCTTCGTTCTCCACCGTGAGACTGGAATGGGAAATATGGCTGTGATGGTTCCACATTTACAGGCTCTTGTTCAACGTGATTGGTGTCTTCAATTCAACTATGGTCCTAGGGAATGGTACCAAGTGGCAGATGGACTGGCGAGGTTGGCTTGGTCTCGACATTCTGATTTTCTTATCTTCGACAATCCTTCGGTGAAAGTTAAGGACGCATGTAACAATATAGAAGCAATGACAGTGCAATGCCAGCTAATGCCTTTTAGTTCTCAATTTTAGGTTTTCTCTTTTTATTCAAAAAAAAAATATTTTTTAAATGAAAAAAATTAAACCATATTAAGATACACTAAAATTCCATGGTTCTTAAAAAATAATAACAGAGACCTGAGCAAAAAAGGCTTTCTTTTGCTCATACTCAATGCCAGGCTCCGGCCAACGCTGAAACAAATGGTTCTGCCCCAAACCCACCAACGTCTTCGGCAACTATATCTGCCAAAAAAAAACATAGAATACATACACGCGTACACGTGTATCTCTTCTAAAAAAAAAGATAAGGAATTTAGGACATGCAAAACCTGATTCGGATGAAGGGTGTTAGAAATAAGTTGTAATTAGTTATTAGTTTGTTAAATCTGTTTTGAGTTGTTATTAGGTTGTTATATTTGGGCTATAAAATACCTAAATTTAGTTTGTAATTCATACAAGTCATTTACAATAAAAATATCTTCAGTGCTTTCCTCTTTCACTTCCTTATTTTCCTGTATCTTCATTCTTCAACTCATACCATCGTCTCAACTTCCATGGCTGCTTTCTCACATGGTATCAATCGCCATAAGTTCCTGGAGCCTTCTGTTTTCTTGCTACGGGCGTTCTTGTTAGTTCATCGTGCTTGTTGGCGTAGAAGGTGGTTGTTCAGTAGTTCTGAATGGCCGATGATTCCTCCACTTCCCATCGAAGAGATCCCATTAAATCATCAGTTGGGAACGTAGCGGCTCAAAGACAGCGGGAAAAGGCGGTGACGGTGGGGAAAGAGAGGAGAGAATCGTTGGTCCGAGCGAAACGGTTGTGTAGAGTGGGAGCCACTGGTGACGGCGATGTTCTCGTCGAGGGAAATGATATGATAACTGATAAAGCAGGGTTTCTTTTAGATGCCCAAACTTCTACAGCTGTGGAGGAGTTAAAATACGCTGCTGCTTACCAGGGGAAAGGTGCAATGCAGAAGAGGGTAAATTCACTACGTGAGTTAAGGCGATTATTGTCAAAATCTGAGTTCTCTCCGGTTGAAGCTGCTCTTAAAGCTGGAGCCATTCCCCTGCTTGTGCAATGCCTTTCGTTTGGATCTCCGGATGAACAATTGCTCGAGGCAGCTTGGTGTCTTACAAATTTTGCAGCAGGAAAACCGAAAGAAACAAAAGCTTTGATGCCTGCATTACCATTCCACATTGCACACCTTGGAGAAAAGAGTTACTTGCATGTTGCCAAGCAGTGTGCCTGGGCATTAGGCAATGTTGCTGGTGAAGGTGAGGAGTTGCGAAATGTTCTGCTATCTCAAGGTGCTTTGCCACCTCTTGCAAACATGATGTTGCCAATCAACTGTGAGAACAACAGCTTGGGCATTGTCAAACCTTATCAAGGGACCTGATCCTAAAGCTGCAACAGAGCTTATCAAAGTTGATGGAGTACTGATGCAATTCTTCGGCACTTACGAAAAGCGAATGAGGAGCTGGCCACTGAAGTAGCATAGTAGTATAATTCTTTTGTGTGTGTAAACAGAAGTTTATTTTTGTATTCAT